AAGTAATTTTTCTCGGGTCCCGTTAGAAGTCTTGATAAATAAGCTACTGGGTGATCGAAACCATCTTTCTCTTGGCTTAATACTGCTCCAATTGCATAATCAGAAGCATCAGTTGTTAATGTAAATGTTTTATCAAAATCTGGATATTGTAAAATAGGTTCTTGACATAATGCGTTTTTAAGGGTTGTAAAGGCCTCTTCATGTTCAGGGGTCCAGATAAGTCTCTTTTCCTTTTTCAATAAGTCAGATAGGGGTTTAGCTCTCTTAGAGAAATCTTTTATAAATCTACGATAATATCCTGCAAGTCCAAGAAACTGTCTGATATGTTTTATGTTTACTAAATAACGTGCCAAAAACGTTATATGGTTCTGAAACGTTTTAAAAGCAGTGGAACGTTTTTGGAACATTATTTAGCAGACATGAAACGTTCTAAAAACGTTTTTGGAACGTTTTTAAAACAATGATGGTTTTTTTACCACTGGGTAATGTCCATTTAGTGTGAAAAATGCCGTTTTCTGTCGATCTGTCGGATCGGTCTGTAGTTGGTGAAAATCCCAAGCAAGGTCAAATGTTAAAAAATACTTAGCATCGCCCAAGTGATCGAGTATGTCCGAAATATTAGGCAATGGATATGCATCCCCTATTGTCTTTTCGTTAAGGGCTCGAAAATCTATTACTAGACACCATCTTTTATTACCTTCGGCATCGGGCTTTTTCGGTACTATCCATAATGGGAAGTTATAAGGAGAGTTAGAAGGTGTTATTATTTCTTCTGAGAGCATTTTAGCGATTTGTCGTTCAATTTCCTCCTTCTGGATGGGTGGAAAACGGTATTGTCTAGTGTTTATGGGTATGTCGTCAGTTGTAGGAATTTTATGACGAACTAAGAGTGTAGACGAAAGATTATCACCTGGTAGGTAAAAATCTTTTTAAAATTCTGTAATTAATTTTTCTACGTGTTGAATTTCTTCTGATGTTAAATGATCTAACCTTAGTTTTTCGAAGATTGCCTTAGTTCGATCTGTAGGTATTTCAATAGGTTCGTTAGATTCAAAACATTCAAGGTATTCGTCGCCTTATTATTGTTCATCAGTACACACAATTAGAACTCGGCTGCCGATCAACTAGTTGTACTCTAGAAAGATTTTCTATAGCTTCCGTTAACTCTGGAGAGAAAATCCATTAGACGGGTAGACCAGGTAACTGCGAGTACTTCTAATTTCAAAACGTTTAAGTATATAGGATTGATTGTAAAAAATTGATTTTAAAACATTTGTAAAGCTATTAAAAGCTTGAGACGAGTATATAAACAATAAAAATTTATTAGTGAATTTAATAAATTAAGAATGAATATACTAGCTAACAGTTGATGATTATGTGATTGATGAACTGTGAGGCAGAACAAAAGGATTTTGAATTGTTTAATCTAGAATTTGTTTGATCTTGAGGAGTTTAGAAAGTTTTGATTCAAAAGAGGTTTAAAGGCAATCAGGAAATAATTCTTCTTTTATCCTTTTCCACTAATATTTATTTTTAAATATGATAGTAATAGAAATAACATAGAAAAATAATGTTTTAAAATTGTTTCTTGTATTAAACAGATGCACCCTAGCAATTAAGGTGCAATAGTTATTTTCATTGTAACTATTTCAGACTTTTTAAATAAATTTGTGTTATACCCTAGTTTCTTATTTTAATATTTAAGCCAAAAATGTAAAATTTGTGATTTCTGGTAATTCTCAAGGTTCAAAATAAATACAGGCTATTTTAATTTGTTAAATTTTAACGCATGTCTGCTTCAATAAAATTAAATAGAAAAATGTGTCATGCTTTAAAGTAAAATGGTTCAAAATTAATTTAAATATAAAAAGTTGAACTCTTATGGTAGGATCGAGAACACACCGTCATTTTTATCATTTAATTGTCAATTATTAATTAAGTTCAGTTTTAACTTACTAACATCTTTAGTTGATTGAGATTTTTTCAATTTAAATTTATCAAATGTATTAATTATTTACAAACTATTTAATTTGTAATAAAAGAAAAAGCGCTTTTCGTCTACTTGTTCACTTAGCCTTATTGAATGCAATATTTAGAATGAAGCAAATCGTCGATAAAATATAATTCAAATTAATTTATATGATCGACAATTTTATTATGAGACTACAACTAATCTTGGATTGGTCGTTTATGGAATGGAGCTTCGGAGTAGTGAACAAAATGTTATAAATAAACGTAGAACTCGCAATTAATGGCAGTTATATGGATTTATTAACTGCTTGCGTTTGTGACCCTTTTGTTGGGTAATGCTCCTTATGACTTAAACACCCTCAAGTTGCATCTCTGGCTCTACTCACTCCGCAACTGAGAGCCATTTGGTTAGCGTAATTTGCACTAATTCTAAATGTTGTATACAGCGAGGTTAAACGAAATAAGAGAAAAATGAAAACAGTTACATACAACTCAATGTTTAACCAGCAAGGTGTATTCTCAAATCCAGTTCACCAATCGAAATACTAAAATATGACTGATCATAACAAAATCTACTGTGAACCAAAATCATGATTAAGATATTAGAAAATATGCAATTTAATTATGCAAAGGAATCATTAAATCAGTTACTAATTTTGAATAGACGGAAAAGTTTATAATTGAAAAATGTAATCTAATCTAATATAAATCTAATCTAAACATTAAATTTTTAGTTAATGTAGTTTGAGCAATGATACTAATTTCATCAGAATAAAGAGAAAAAGAATTAACTTCCTGAATTGCCCAAAATTATATTCTTTTTTCGTCATATGAAGTTAGCCCTAATATAATAATAAACAAGTTGTTCATTTCATGACCATTTAGCTTCCTCAATACAATAAACAAATTTCTTCTTAAAAAAGCAAAAAAAAAAAGTTAATGACATGAACATAATTTTCAAACTGTTTTCGAACACTTGTTCCTCTTGACGAAATATTTATACCACACTTGAAAATTTCAATTAGGAGTACTCGCATTTGCCCAGACTATTATTTTATTTTGAGTTCGTTATTGCTTCAACTACATACTACAATTTAATACTACATTTAAATACTTTATTTAAAAGAAAAGAATTTTAAAATGAGTTAAAAACGGAATTAGAACGATTCATAACAATCGAAAACCGTAATCGGACTCAAAAATTTTACTTCAAGACCCTGATTATTTTGAGTATCTCGACTTATAAGAACTTCTGTTAAATACAGAATTCGACGGCACGAATAATTTACACAGACTATGTCTTTTGTATCGTATTTTTGAAAATTAAATAGTTTGTTAATTAACAATTATTATTTGCAATTTATGCACGTAATATTAAATTGAAAATATAATTAGATTTATAACAACAAATAAATTATTAGTCATTAATGGAGGTCGATGCAGCAATTAAAATGTTTCACACGGAGAGAAGAGAATAGTGAAAGCGACTATCGGTTCAGTTCTGATAACTAAACAGTCTTGTTAATTTTCGACGGACAAATTTAACAGTCGCATCTACTACACTATAGTAGGAACGACTGTCAGTTTAGTCAGGGATACTAAACAGGAACTAAACCGCCAGGGGCGCTACAATCGCTCTCCATGTGTTTCTGCTACTAAACGCGTTTTGTTGTCACGACTATAACTCTTCTCTCAGTGCAGCGCTCTGAAAAATTGCATGATATATAAAGTACGTAAGCTATATGGGCGACTACCGATGGACAACCCTACAAAGATATTGACGTTATATAAGAAAGAATGTGTTGATCATGTGCAAAAATGATTGAGCACTCAACTTCGAAATTTGAAAAAACTAGTAAAAGGCTTAGGTATAGAAAACGTAAGCTGACAGGTAAGGTTATTGATAAACTGTCAATATTTCTCGGATTAGCAATTCGGAGAAATTGCGATTCGGTAGAAAACATGAAGAGCGCTATATGGGCAACACTTTACCACAATATTTCATCCGATGATAATTAGCAACACGATCGTTGTCCTATCGGAAAAGATACGTGGTGCTCGTGGTAAAGGGCGAACACTACGAACACGTTGAACGATTATAAGCCCAAAACACCTATACGTCATGATGATTTCATAGCTACATGTGTCTTCCACGATGGCCTCATATTAATTTTATCAATATCCAAGATCATGGAAAGTGTTTAAAAATGGAATAATTATTTGTTTTCATGAATAATGGGCTATATACGGAGAGACATCTTCATGGGTATTTTATGGGAGTTATGTACAAAAAACATCTGTAGTTTATTGACCTAGAGCAGTACTTATATTAATGTCGAAAACGTCAAGCGACTTATATACCGTAATTTTACAAAAATTAAATGAATTTTGCCCAAGATTAAAGGAAAATTTAAAACGCATCGATTTATCTGAACTGATTTAGAGCATGTGCAGTAACGGAATAAGAAAATAAACGTCCGTTTTTAAAAAATTGTGTTAATTTGTTAACTTTGATTGAAAATAAAAATTATAAACAATTAAAAACTCAAAAATTGGCTTCGAGGGATGTCTTAAGAATTTATTCTCCTTTAATTTAAAACAATAGGGTAAACGCACCAATTGTCGAGGGTGAACCCTTTGTCGATGTTATCACGGTGATAACCAAAAATATTGCCTGAAATGTTTAATTTATTTGTGGTTATAATATTAATATATTATTTTTGACATTTATAACTCTTAAAAACCTTGAATTTCAAAAATTTTAGATAGTTACCCAATTAATCTATATCATAATTAAAAAAATAATTTTGTTTTTAATTTGAGGTCGTCCATATAATACATCATACTTTGAGGGAGAGAAGGGCTTAAGCAATTTGTGACATTCTATAGAAAAATGGCGCTAAATATATGTAACAGATTGTGGAATAGGGGAGGGGGTCCAAAATCGCTAAAAATTGCGTGACGTATAATATTTTCCAACTTTAACGAACTTAAATAATAATAATATATATAAAATTCTTAAAATTTACTTGAATTGCTATAGCTCCAAGTTGAGTAGCTGAGAAGGAGGAGAGAGATCCAAGGAAACTTCCAATTGGCGTTCTTGCAGCACCAACGATTACAACATCGTTTAGCATTTTTGTGCTGTATGCTCGTGACTTGCAGACATTTTTCTATAAAATATAATTAAAAAAATGTTTAAACAAATATTCTTATTATACTTTAACTACAAATTATATGTGAACAACAAACATAAAACATTGCAAAATCCAACAAAATAACAAGATTGTTGATTACATTAAATTTATATTTAAGAGGATGATGTGATAGGAAGTTTAGTATACTCTATCTGAGTTTATTGATTTTCTGTACCACTGCTTTACCCGGCCTGGATCCTTTTACAAATTTTTTCAACGACTTGTAACATAAAAATAAACCTTTTTTTCACCTTTAATTAAAATAAACAATTAGCAAAAAAAATTGCTTCCGAGTCGTGGAAATAATAATTTAGTTTAAATACCGGAATTTTTAGAAAATCCGTGACAAAAAATATAAAAATTACTGCTTTCCTCGCCTTGGATCCATTCGAAATTTTTTTTAAATGTCTTCTAAGATTAAAATAAATAATTATCAATAGAAAAAAAATTCTTCCGAGGCGAGGAAACAATAATTTAGTTGAATTTTCGGAAATTTTGACAAATCCGTGACAAAAAATCTATATCACTGATGCTTGGATTCTTTCATATTCTTTTTAAAGGGCTTTTAACATTAAAATAAGTAATTAGTAAAAGTAAAAATTTACGTTGAAACAACGTTGGTAACTTCAGTTATTCATCAAATCTTTGATGTCCACTCGTAAAATTAGACAAAGTTTAAAAAAAAATTTTCTACAACTTTAAACAAATCAATTATAATATAAAGAGTATCAAAAAACATAGAAAATATGAAACATTTTTTAAAAATTTATATTATACTTATCACTTTATATATGAGATTGAATTTACCAAAAGAAGTAAAGATTCTGAAGATTTAATTAAACTATTAATTTTAATCATAAAAAACATATTAAATCTTTATATAAACTTTAAAATTTAAGTGATTTTACTCAATTTATTTTTGTCAAACAAAAGTGAGAAGTAAAATTCAATTCATCAATAATAATTGAACATATTGTCAAAAAAATTGTTCGATATTAGAATTTTAACCTATTATCAATCAAAGTTTTGAGAAAATTCATTAAATTTATATGAATTTGCAAAAAAAACAGTAATTGTTTTTAGAGAAATTACATGCATTTACCATTCAAAATTTCAATTGAGTAGAGGCACATCTTCATATTGATCAATTTGCTTCAATTTGGAAAAAAAATTTATTTATTCTATGATTAATTTTTTTTGGTGGGTATCACAAATACGGGAACATTTTTATAACCAAAATCATATGTCAAAACATTAATTATATCACGGAGAGAAATTTATAGTAGTGGGTAACATAATTGTGGTTAGGGTGACCATCTTTAATGCTACGTATACAGACAGCTATCTAGATAGTCACCGTTACCATCAATATCATCAGGAGTAACATCTTGGTAGTACGGGGTAGCATAACTATATTTTTTTTAGCATCTGTGATGGTTGGCAGTAGCATAATGATAGTATCGTGTAACATCATCTTTTTAACATCAAAATCTGACTATCCGTTTCTCTCAGTGTAGAAAAACAAAATACGACACATTCTGATCACGGAAAATAGCAAATATTTTTCCAACATTTCGATTAAACAAAAACTTTTTTTTTGTGAATATTTCACTAATTCTGACCCTAGGTAAAGAAAATAATATAAAAAAATAAAAAACAAAAAAAATATGTTAAACAATTTTTTTAATCATATTTTGACCTTAGATTATTTTTAGTAAGATGTTGATTCCCTACTAAAAATAAAATCACAAAACGACAGAAATTTAGTCAGAATCTCTGACGTTTTTAGGCTGCATTTGTTACGATTGCAGCCACAAAACGTCAGGCTTGAGTCATGTTTAATCAGAAAGCTTCAAAAGTAGTCAGGTTTTTTATACAAAGTCGACACCCTTTTTTACCTGGAAAAAGGTCGACTGACCGTCATAAAATTGAAGGGAAATCTTTTTATTTGTTTATATTCATATTTATTTAAACATTATACTTGTTTTTCATCGACTTAGAATTCATCTAACAATATGCTCTTATTATGCATGCAGTATATCCTTTAGAACTTAAATTCAAAAATGATATCCTTTTTTATTTAACAATTACGGTTTTCGAGATACGTTACAGTTTCCTTAAAAAAATGTTTTTTATAATAAATTTTAGATATTTGTAATTGTGGAGATTTCTAGATTTTGAATTTATATTCATTTTACTTGAAATTTTAAAATTGCAAAACTTTTGAGCAATAAAAATTAGGTTAGAGACCCGAACCTCGTAACAATAGACCCGCAATTCTATTGTGAAAAAAGGGCTACGCACAAATTTCAAGTTTTAACGGTACTTTACATTTACCGGCTATATTTCGGTGAGGGGCTGTAAATAAAAAAAAAGATTTCAATGCTCAATAATCACAATCCATAAACATCAGGATTCAACAGGAGCATAAAAAATCCTTTAGTCAGAATTAACCAAAAGCTTCAGGAATCGTCAAAGTAGTCACAAAACATCAAAATTTCTGACGTTTTCTCTTTATTTCTGATTTTATTTTTAGCAGGGTTTGTTTATTATTTCTTAATCCATATTAAATTTAGATATTATAGATTTAATTAGATAATATTAATTAGATTTTATTAGATCCATATTTAATTTAGATTATTTTTGTTACTTATTTACGTGACATACAAACTTCAATAAAAATATGATAAGAAAAGATTTGTTTAAAAAAAATAAAAAATAATCACAAAACGTAAAAGCAATTTGCTTATTTTACTGCAAATTTAATTTAAGTGTTCTAAGGTAGATTTTAAGGTCAAAAACTCCCAGTAAAGAATTTCTATCGAATTAAATGAATTTATAAACAAATCCGCCATTTATCTTAATTATGCCGCCGGTCTGACGAACTGTGCGAACGACTTAAAACCGGCCGCTTGCAAAAAAGAATTTTTATCAATAAAAAAATAAATATATTGAAAAAGGAATTTAGTTTGAGTGAAAGTTAATGTCTTTAAGAAATCTAATATAAACCATTTCATAAAAAATATTTAAAACACAATTAAAAATTGTTTACCACAAAATTAATATTACTTAATTGCATCGTCACGATTAGTTTTAATCATAATTAAAGTATGTTTTTCGGCTTTCGATAATCTCGGGACTGAATATTATTTTTTATTCAACTTTCGATAAAAGCATACGAATTTCTTAATTTCGTTATTAGTAACAATTATTCTTTGAGTCAACCACGTTTATTTTTCCCATAAAATTCCATGCAACAATATTTTTTATACTTACTTTAAACAAAAACTTTGCATTAACTTTGTGCATTTTTTATGTTTTCTTTAAATTATATTTAACAATCTATAAATATAAATAACAAACGAATTATACATATACCATATATATGTATATTAAAAATAAACTTAATAGAATCTGGAAGCAAGAAAAATGTGATCTTTAATTATGCACAACACAAGTATGCACTACATTCAAATATTATCAATGATGATTATATGCAAGATCCATGAATTAATATGTATATAGTTGTCACTTGATGGTGAGTCCAGAATATCAAACATTCGACTCGATTAATATAAAGACAAAGATAAGGAAAAGATTAAGGACGGGTCTATACAGTGAAAGATGATTGGAAATGGAGGGTTAAATTTTATCATTTATTTGTTTATTTATATAAATTTTTCAATCTTTTATTTTGTTGAAACTGAATTTTTTATGTCATGGAGAAATTTTTCTGCCCTGAAAAAATACGAATTCTACAAAATACAACGTCAAAATAAAATTAAATTAGTATCCAAAGAAATTATTCTTTGTGAATGACCCTTCAAAAAATCCACTTTCCACAAGTAGTGGCACCAGTGGCACCGACCTCGTCCAACAAGTGTCATGAACTACTGAACATGATACAAGTTGGACGAACTTGTTCCTACTTGTAGTACCAAATGTCGCCATTTACGTCCGAGGCGCTTGTGAGCCATCAGGCTCCCGAAAGTCGTCTCTCCATCTCTCTCTCTCTCTCTCTCTCTCTCTCTCTCTCTCTCTCTCCTTGCTCAACGTATAACGCATTGCGGCATTGTTCGACGTTCAAACGCAAGCATGTAAACGAACCTGTACTTGTATCCGTATTCATTTTGTAATTGCATGTTCTTTTTACTGTTATAAACCACGTAATTTGTCTAATGTATTTTACGTGCCTAACCCTGAGTGAGAGCAAGAAACAAAATTTTAATTGGAATTATCTTTCTCGCTCACACTCAGGACTCATGCGCCTCCTTCCCCGTCTGTCCGCTGGTCGTAAGCATGTAAGCTGTGAACGTGCCTTTAAGACCCTAACAATCGTTTTCGAATCGATTCAATCGATTCTTCCATAAGAATCGTAATTGATAACGGTCCCTGTTATTATCAATTTACGAAAAATTATTTTACGGAATAAAAACACGATGGCGATTTTTGAATAAAAGCAAATCAATATTCACATGAATTTTTCTGTGTGTTCTAAACAGCGATTGTCTTTTTTTGTAAAATATAATTTTTCGTAATTTTTACTATTCATTCATAAATTTACTATGCACTATTCATGATAATAAAAAATAAATATAAGGAGCAGAATTATTCTTCTTTTTAATTTTCCAATTCTAATAAAATAAATAAAATAAATGTTCATATAATAGTCTTTCCCACGAGAAGCCAATAAATACCCTGACATTTTTTTCCATTCACGAATCTGATTTCGCATTAGTCTTCACTGAGAACGAACTATATATGTATATAAAAAGTCCAATACCGACTTTTCACTATCTCTCTATACTCATAAAAATTATTCGCATATTTGATGCTTTATTAATTTAAAAAACAATTGTACAGCACGCAGATAACAATGATTATCTCGTGAGAAAAAGAGAGAAGGGTGGGAGGTAGAATATATTCTAATTATTATTAAATCAAAGAGTAAAGCAAAATCTATAAATATTAATTTCTATATAATTAAAGATAGAAAAAAAGGAGGTAAAAAAAAAAAGTTGAAAGAGAACAGAAGTTATGAGATTGGTAGTATACTAGCAAACTAGAGATTGGTGAAAGGCTGGTCGAAAGGGGACAGTAAACAGTAGGTTGGGTAGAATGCGGTAGAATCGAAAATGGAAGATGGGTTCTCAACAGCTGGTTATGCTGGTAGTCATACCCATCCCCGCTTTCTTATACCGCGTATTGTCGCTACTCTGTGAATTCTCACACAGCAGTTGAGTTGCAGATATTCGTTCGCGTAATATGTGTGTGCAATCGAAGTAACGAGTGACTGAAATAATTGGTTTATGATTTTGTTCAGTGATTTTTCATCATTTTTCTACCAGTGCGCGTGAGTGAAGTTTTTCAGAACAAACTGCGGAAAACATTTAGTGTGCTACTGCGTGTACTTCGGAGGGAAAAAAAGTGCATACTGGTTTTAATTTAGGATACTATTGCTTATTTACTCTCATTCTAAAAGGATTCGCCCACTAAAAGAAGGTGTGTACTTGCTTTCCGGCTTTATCTCTAGATTTCACACTCCTTTTATTCTTCTTGTTTACAAAGTTTATAAAGTAAGTTTGTTTACCACCTGTTGAAGGTATATATAGATATATATGTATATAAATCTCCAATTCGTATATATATATTTGTATATATAGATATATTTCGATATAAATATCAATTTGCCGATAATTTTCTGTTTTTAAATTAGTTCATGTAGTACTTACTTTTATTTCTCTTTCAAGAAAAATTTAAAGTCATATTCGTAAATTGCAAATTTTATACTTTATGCTTCCTAAATATTCGGTAAGCAGCGTTTTTTCGCTCAACAAGTTATTATTATTAATATTTTCATTATTTTAATGAATAATCATTCGAGTTAAGATATAAATCTATTCAGAAAGTTTACGTATTTTCACATTTCAATATTATTAGAAATGCAAAATACTTTCACCCTATTGGCTATTACAGTTTAGAGAAAATTACCTAAGGATATTGTTGAAAAAATCAGTGTTGGCTGGTAAGTTATTATTGTTTTAGTAACTCAGTTAACTTCTTTTTAGTAATAAAAAAGTTACTTTTTAAAACAAGTATAGTTATAAATTAACTTCGTAACCTGAATAACGTTTAGTTGCTAATAGCGATTTACAGTTATTTTTCAAAAAATAAGTAACTCTAGAGTAAATTACGCAAATTAAAATGGTTATTTTTGCCATAAATTTTTTACTAAAATTCGGCTTTTCTAAATTATTTTATAAATTTCAATTTAGTTTCTAAATAAATAAATTTAAGAGTAAATTACACAGTTAATGAATACTTTCTATAGCAAAATACCAAAACAGTGTTTGATTTCGATGTTCTTCCGGTGTTAACGACTCGTGTAAAAAATAACCTATAAATCAAAATCAAAACGATCAAAACATAAACTATGCTTTAAAAAAATGTTTATTTATAATTATTTATGCACAATCGGGTATTTTTATTAAAAGTATTGGAAAAAATTACATTTTTATAATTCATATTCTTTTGATGAATATTGTTATTTATCAAAATAATTGAATTTTGCAAAGAATTTTATTAAAATGCCTCAAAATAATTGAATTTTCGGAAATAATTTTGTTATTTATAGACATAATTTAATTTTCGGGAATAAGTTTGTTATTTATAGACATAATTGAATTCTTTCGAAGAATTATTTATGTAAATAATTGAATTCTTTGGAAGAATTTTATTGACATCTAAAAGAAAAATTGAATACTTAATTAAAAGAAAAATGAACTAAAATTGTATTTAAAATAATTGATTTCTTTCAAAAAATTTTATTAAAATATTTAAAAATAATTCAATTCCTGTGAAAAATTCTAATATTTTTTGTAAATAATTTAATTCTTAAAAATAAATTTATTTATTGTTTATGAAAAAAATTGAATTATTGCGAAAAATTTTATTATAATGTTTAAAAAGTATTGTGTGGAAAATTTTGTTATTTTTGAAAGAAATTGAATTTTTTATAAGAAATTTATAAACATTGATTAAAATAATTAATTCTTTCGAAATATAATAAATATTATGAAAATTTTATTTCAAATAATTGAACTTTTGTGGAAAATTTTATTTATGTTATTTTATTTATGTTTAAAATTTTGTTATTTTTAAAAAAAATTAAAATTTTATAAGAAATTTATAAACATTGATTAAAATAATTAATTCTTTCAAAATATAATAAATATTATGAAAATTTTATTTTAAATAATTGAATTTTTGTGAAAAATTTTATTTGTGAAAATAATTGAATTTTTCGATTTGATTAATTAATTTAAAATAGTATTAAAAATAATTGAAATTCTTCAATGAGTTTTATTCTTAATGAAAATAATTGAATTCTTGATTAGAATTTTATCAAAAAATTTTTTGAAAAATTGAATTTCCATGAAGAATGTTTTTATTAGTGAAAGTAATTGAATTATTGTGAAGAATTGACATAAAAATTTTGTCAAATAGTTGATTTTTTCGAAGTTTTTTTTTAATCTCAATTTTAAAAAATCGAACAATTTAATTTTACGTGTCTGAAGTTTGCAACGTTGCAAAAATGCGACAAGTATTTATTTTTTTTTCGTAACAATTCTGAAATATTAATTTTTTCCTCTGGAATGTAAAAGTTATATTTAAAAACGATCCAACGTACGCTACTATTTGATTTTTAACTACTTTTTTTGACAAAAATTATACTTTATATTAAAATGTACGTGAAAATGTAATATTTTTTGTGCTGATTTTAAGAAATATTTCTCCTTCATTTATGTATATCAAAAATATATATATACCATATAGAGTTACTGCAAACTTTATATTTGAAGTCGTTTATAAATCATGTTAACATTTGTTTGCTTTTTTCATTCTCCCGGGCCCCTCTTCTCCCCCTTAAAAATTACGTCACATTTATTTGACTTCCTCTTCTCATATTTGTACGATCGAAAAAATATGTAGGCATTTTTTTATTAAATACATTTTTGTAATAATAATAATTATACAATATTTATATTGTATAATAATAACAGATAATAATAATTCAATTATTTTCAAAAAAAATATTCGAAATTCAATTATTTCCAATATCTAGTATTTTCATCAAATTTCGCAAAACCATTCAATTATTTTTGTAAATAATAAAATTTCCACAGGAATTCAATTAATTTAGAACATCACTTTCAAAAATCAATTATTTAACAACATTTTTATACAATTCTTCACAATAATTCAATTACTTTCACTAATAAAAAAATTTTTTCACAGAAATTCAATTCTTTTTAAACATTTTAATAAAATTTTTCGCAATAATTCAATTATTTTTATAAATAATAAAATTCTTCTTAGGAATTCAATTATTTTTAAAAAATTTAATGAAATTTTACAGGAATTGCTCAAAAAGTGTAATTATTCGTAAAAATTTAATTTCATTTCCTCAAAAAAATCAATTATTTAAAAAAATGTTTTTTTAAAATTCTTTGAAAGAATTTAATTATTTACAAAATTATTAGAATTTTTCACAGGAATTCAATTATTTTAAAATATTTTAATAAAATTGTTCAGAAGAAATCAATTATTTTTAATACAATTTTAATTAAATTCTTTTCAAATAATTCAATTATTCTTTTAGATTGTAATAAAATTCTTTACAAGAATTCAATTATTTACATAAATAATTCTTGGAAAGAATTCAATTATTAAAGAGAAATAACAAAATTATCCCCAAAAATTCAATTATTTTGAGGCATTTTAATTAAATTCTTTGCAAAATTCAATTATTTTCATTAATAACAATATTCATCACAAGAATTCAATTATTTTTAAAAGTAATAAAGTTCTTCTATACATATTCGTTTGAAAATACAGAATTCGCTCAATATTCCGTTCTATGATATTTTACTTTAAAAAAGTAGTATTTACTTGATGACTTTTAATGGCACAGAAAAGTTAATCTTATATAAAATAACTGGACAATTAATAAAGCCATTCACAATTTTAAAAAGGAACATTAAATCAAAATGCAGGAAATATTAATATTTTTTTTTAAATTTTACTTGTTTTTTTCTACTGAAATAGATTCATTAATTAAAGAAATGTTAACAATTTTATGTGAAAAAAGACCATTCTCTAATTAGAATCAATTAAATCGTCGTCAATTTAAGATGTATTCATATTGTAGAATTTATATTAGCTACATGGAATTTTTTTTCTTGGAAAACAAACGAGGCGCATGACTACTCACGACTTTTCACTATTTCTAACGGTGATTTGATCGAATTTATAAATTGCCATAGAGGAAAATTATTACGGAAATTTTATTTTTATAAAATTCTTTTATTATTATTATTTAGTGTGTGTAAAAATTTGTGATAAAAAAATAATTTCAAAACCTGATAATTATAATTTTAGATATCATTTTTTCACTTCTATATCTAATTTAACGGCATTTAAATTAGAAAATCGGTGTAATAGATATTTTTTATGTCAGCAATGTAAAAGAGATATGTACACATAATTATAATTTTGTTAATTCTTCTATTTAACGTATTATTGAACTATTAAAATTATCATTTTATCTAATCTTTTGAAATTGTTTTTCGAAATGTCATATGTGTTCAATTGCACATTTTTTCAATTTGTCGATGTCATATTATTATTTATTAAAGTCTCGTCACATATATCTTTCTATTTTAAAAGTACATATTTTATATTATTAATTATTTTCATATTTTTTTACTACTTTCAGAAAATCTCTAGGTACTTATTGAACTAAGAAAAATAAATTTTTGTCTACTTGGCTTAAATAGAGTTAATTAATTTAAAAAATAAAATTTCTAGTTTCAATTTTTATGAGTATAACTTAATTGGCATAGAACGAAACAATTTGTATAAATTATAATTTACTTACTGTAGAATGTATTGAAGGCTAAAAAAAGATGTGCTCTTAATTATAAAGAATTGGTATTTGTTGCGAAACTATAGCGTTACTCATTATATTTAAATAATACAATTTCTAGAACTTTATATTTTTTGCAGCTATTAATTAATCAAGTAGAAATTTTTAAAATTATTTTAGAATAATGTGCCTTTGGAAATAGAGAAAAAATTACAATGCGACTATCGCACCTTAAACTTGACCGTGAACAACTACTTAGTCTGTTTTAGGAGCACATCTACATATTGAAATATATCGAATTGAAAACGTTTGTGAATATTAAAGAACGTTCAAAAATTATATATTCAAATTCTTTAAAACGATTCAATTTTTTTCAAAAAGTATACGAAATTCAATTATTTTCAATATCTAATATTTTCAGAAAATTTTGCAAAACAATTCAATTTTTTAAAAAAAATTTATAAAATTCATCCAAAATTCAATTATTTTCATAAATAATACAATTTTCACAGGAATTCAATTAATTTAGAATAGCATTTTCAGAAAAATTTCGAAAATATCAATTATTTAACAA